AGAGGTCGCCGGGCGCCGTTCGGCGTCATTCATAAGGCCTGACGCTGGGCGGCCGTGACCCGGCCAGCTCGGAGTTCTCCTTGTTTGCTCTAGCCACAGCCGGAGCTGCAAGAGGATGCTGGATCCAAAAGTGAGGGCAGGCTGGGAGGAGACTCTTAATGTCCCGTTTACTGTGGCCCAGCCTTAGGCCCCTGAAAAGTAATAACGAGGACACTGGCCAAGTACATGACTTCTCGTTCCCAGCACATTGGAACTGTCACACTCCCATTTGATGGAGGAGGAATGGTGAGACTGGTTCCTTGCTCTAGTCCATTTGCCTGGACATCGCTATCTGGAACCTGCCCTCTGGGGACAGGCAGGGAGCCATTCTCGTTCCTTCTGGATGCCCATCTTTAAATTTTGTTTTCATGCAATGCAGGGGTTGAACACAATGCCTACCAGCTGCTAAGCAAGCATTGTTCCTTGCCCAGGGTACTCTTTCAAGTCTGTGCTGCCAGAACAGGGTCAGTTTCCCACTGTGCCACTGACATCAGGGGCCTGAGCACTCTGCTGGAGGGGTCTCCTACACACTAGTTGGTGTTCAGAACCCCCACCCTAACACACTGGATGCTGGTATACTTCCATCTTCCTGCTGCCTGGAGCAACATAAATCATCTCCAGACTGTTAAATGTACTCTGGGAAACAAAATTATCCCCACCCCCACCAGAGAACCTCTGCAGTAGAGCATGGCCAGGGTGGAAGGTGCTGAGGGGACAATGGGCTAGCTCTCCCTGATGATAAAGGGTAGCTGGCCCTGAGCAACATAAACCCATAGATTCAATGCAGTACTCAGCAGTTCATACCCAACTTTCTAAGCCAGCAACTGTATGCACTCCTGCTACTAGATCAGCTACAGTCCTACTCTCCCTTCCAGAGAGTAGGGCTCCTCTGGATTATGGGAGCTGGCTGAATAGCCAAATGCTCCATCTCTGATTTGGGGAGTTACACCATAGCTAAGTGAAAAATTATCTAAATTGTGGCTGTGTGTGCCCTTGGCTCACAATGTTGCTCTATGCCTGTGGGTCAAGGTCATCAGTTGGAACAGCTGGTATACTTCAGCTTTGGCAAAGCAAAACAGTCTTTGAGCCTCAGCTTGTGGGGCAGACTGTACAACCAGATGAGACTAATAGGGAAGCAAGCAAGAGAAGGACCAGCTACTTTCAGGACAAGAGGTCACTCATGACATGGTGAAAGATACAGGAGGACAAAGAAACAGCATATATAAAAAGAAAACAATTACAGAGGCTAGAGGGATGACTTGCACTGGCTGCCCTTCCAGGGGATCTGGGTTCAATTCCCAGCTCCCACATAGGAGTTTACAACCCTCTGTAACTCTAGTTCCAGGAGCTCCAAAGTACTCTTCTGGCCTCTGCAGACACCAGGGCACTCAAGTGGTACACAGACAAAATACAGGCAAAATATCCAAACACATAAAATATGTTTTAAGCTGGGAGTGGTGGGGCAACGCCTTTAAACCTAGCACTTGGGAGGCAATGACAGGCAGATGTCTGTAAGTTTGAGGTCAGCCTGGTCTACAGAGTTCCAGGACAGCCAGAGCTGTTATACAGAGAAACCCTGTCTCAAAAAACAAAAAAGAATCACTTAATGTTTAGGCCAGGTAGTGGTGGCACATGTCTTTAACCCCAGCACTTGGGAAGCAGGGGTAGGCGGATCTCTCAGTTTAAGGCCAACCTGGTCTACAGAGCAAGTTCAAGGCAGCCAAGGCTACACAGAAGTCTTGTTTCAGAAAAAAAGGAGGAGGAGGAGGAGGAGGAGGGAGGAAGGAGGAGGGAGGAGGAGAAAGAAGAAGGAAGAAGAAAGAAGAAAGAAGAAGAAGAAAACAAACAAACAAACAAACAAAAAAACAGGCCGGGTGTTGATGGCACATGTCTTTAATCCCAGCACTCGGGAGGCAGAGGCAGGTGGATCTCTGTGAGTTTGAGGCCAGCCTGTTCTACATAGTGAGTTCTAGGCATGCCAGGTGGGGGGTAAAAAAAAAACCAGAACTGAACAATCTAGATGAAGTGCTTTTATTTTTAAACCAACCAAAACTTTTAATATAAAAGCATTTTCATATACACACTGCACTCACAATAGCATCCATGTAGCAGCAGCAAGGGGACCCAGGGCTTAGGGTAAGGGTAGATGGAGTGGGAGTTTCTCAGGTCAGCCTGCCAAATGCCTCCTTATCCTGGAGTATTGGGTAGCTCATGAGAATATGTCATCAAAGCAAACCCTGATAACTCCATGAAGCAGGACCTCCAACATGCCTCCTACCCAAGGCAATCCTCTTAGAAAGCTAGGCTCAGTCACAATGAGAAGGTGGCTGTAACCAAAGTACCCACCATACCTTCATGGCCTGGGGAGCTTACCTTTGGGGATTTTTCTAGCAGTGGTTAGACTTAAATGACCTAGACACCCTGGAAGGACACTGGTGGTACCAAGTCTGCCTTCTAACCAGTATTCCTTGCCTGAGACACCAAGAACTGGAGTGAGAAGGAGTGACAACCTTTGGCCAAAGGCTAGCCAAGCGTTGCCCAAACAAGCTTCAAGGAAGGTGATATTCAAAGAGCTTCTCAAAGGCACTGATAGTATAGAAGAAAAAATGACACAAAGAATGAGCATATGAGTACCTGCTTCTTAGAGGCTGATGGGTCAGAAGTGAGAGGATTCTTCTGGACCTGAGCTGAGAGGTTGGGGTCCATATTTTCCTTGGGGCTGACAGGTCTGGAGGCAGCTAGAGGCCCTCAAATCCTTGAGATGACCAAGCATGAGGGCCTGTAGGTCCCCTCTAGGTGTGCAAGGAGACTGGCCATGGTCCTACTGGGACCAGCCTGGCCCCCATCAGATGCAGTCCATGGAGTTCTCCGGGAGGAGGCCTGAGATGCAGCTAGGGAGGCCCAGGCTTTTGATGGGAGTGCAACTGAGGGGAAGGCCATAGTCCGGGTTGGGGTCCTGGTTCTCTGTGGCTTCCAGCCTGTCTGAGTTGTTGTCCCAGTTGATATGGAATCGGGTCACCCGGGGCTTAGAAGCCAAGATGTTCCGCTGTAGCTGGAGCAAGAAGAGTGTCAGTGCCTATCACCTAAGGGCCAGGATGCCCTCCTACCTCCACTTTGAGCCCAAAAGATGCTTGTACACTATGGAGTAGGAACAGGGCCTTCCTCATCCTGGTTTTGCTTGGGTTTGTTCATTTGTTTTTTGGGGGGTTGTTTTGAGAGTCTCAACTATGTAGGCCAGGTTAGTCTGGAACTCACAGAGATCTGCCTGACCCTGTCTCCCAAGTGCTGAGGTTAAAAGTATGCACTACCATGCCTAGCATGATTTTTAAAAAAGTTTTATATATATGGGTGTCTGGCTACACATATATCTGTGCACCACGTGTGTGCCTGGTGTGTGTGTGTCTGGCCTTTGGTGGCCAGAAGAGGGCACAGAGTAACAGCTTGTGGGTGCTGGGAATTGAACCTGGTTCTGAAGAACAGCAAGTTTCTTAACTGCTGAGTCCTCTCTCCAGCCTACTTAATTAAAAAAAAAACAAACAAACAAAAAAAAAACTTTATTTTTATTATATAAATGTTTTGCCTACACATGTCTATTTGTTACATTTGTGCCTAATCCCCATGGAGGTTAGAAGAGGGCATAGATCCCCTGAAACTGGAATTAAAGGTGGCTGTGAGCCACCATGTGGTTGCTAGGAATCAAACCCAGGTCCTTTGCAAGAGCAGCCAATGCTCTTACTGCTAAGCTATCTCCAGTGGCCCTCCAGCACCCCCCCACCTCCACCTCCCCACCTGAAAACAGGGTCTTACTATGTAGCCTAGGTTGGTCTGGAACTCATTATGCAGAGAAGGCTGGCCTCCTAACTTATGATACTTGCAGCTCAGCCTTCTGAGGACCGGGATGCTGGGATCACAGTGTGCTACATTCCCCCTAGCTCTAGCCCTGATCCTGTCAGGCATGCCTCAAGAAGAAAAGACTTGCTTCATCCTAGCTCTACCTCAAAGACAGCATGACCTGTTAACCTTCACTGACCTGGGCACCCATCTCCCTTAGCAGTAAAGGAACTGGCCTGTCTGAAGCAGGAAGTACAGAGACAGACCTCACCTGAGAGAAGTCTGGCTTTGGGGGTGGGTTCTCCCGAAGCTCTGGATTTGGGTACTCATTGTTGACATAGTAGCCCACACGGATGAACTCTTGTCCATGGTAAGTGCAGGTGATGAGAACCACAGTGACACCCACGGCGTCGGTCTCAGGAATGAGGGATGGATTGGGGGCATCAGCCTGGGGAGACACATCCTGGGCTTTAGCACTGCCACTCATGACTCAAAGACTACCAAAGAACTGGACTAAAAAAACTGACCAAACAGGTAGCTACAAAGAGATGGTGAATTTGACTCGGCAACATGATTGCTCAGTATGCAGAGTCCTACCTTCTGTCCTTAGTCTTAGTAACAACAATAGTAAATTCAGCCAGGCAGTGGTGACACATGCCTTTAATCCCAGCCCTTGGGAGGCAGAGGCAGGCAGATCTCTGAGTTCGAGCCAACTTAGTTTACAGAACAAGTGCCAGGACAGGCTCTAAAACTTCACAGAGAAACCCTGTCTCGGAAAAAATAAGTAAGTAAATTCAAAACTTCGGAATGTGACTAGGAGACAAGGGTGTTTAGGCAGAATGTGGTGCAAAAAGGAACTGACAAGAGATGAAGTTGGTCAGGTGGATATGAGGCAGCCCCAGGCCTGCTGGGGAAATTCAGGGCTTGGGAAAGAGCAGTGTTTAGAAGAGGTAAGGTCTGAAAAGAGTGCAGGTATGTGGAGGTCTAGCTGCAGAAGGTTGAGCAGAAGCAGGGAAGCCAGTCAGGAGTCATCCTGGACAGGATGACTAATCCCAGCAACAGAGAACAGAATCACAGATCAGGGTGTGTGGCTCTGGATGGAGCAACTATGTTATATGAAACCAATGCAAATGAAAACACCTACACTTAGCCAAATCCATGACACAGAGCAGAGCATCCCCAGTGGGGATGTTCAATGGCCAGGCTATGTGCCCTGGAAGAGGCCTTGGCTCAACAGGCAGGAGTGTTAGGGGAGCAGGTAGCTTGGAATAGGGGAAACAGTAGGAGGGAGGTAATGGATCATGATTTCCTTAGCACTTGCCAATGAGCCTAGACACTGGACTGGACATAGCAGCACCATTTGGAAGTCACAGCCCATCTTCATATTCACTGAGTTTACAAATCCACCAATTAGATACATCTAGAAACTTAAAAACCAACAAGTGTGGTACTTTCATAATTACTTACTAACATGTAAAAAGTAAGGAAAACCCAGTGCTGAGGTTCCAACATGGGGCCAAACTAGGGGCTACTTAGTCTTCTTGCTTCTGCTTTCAATATGGAGTACAAGGACCCTTTGACTGTCTACCTAATGCCAAAATTCAAGAGTTTCATATGGTGAGCTTGGTTCCTGTCTGTTCTGCTACACATTTCAGCTACCACAGTATTTTCTCTCTCCTGGCCTAGAAACAGAGCTTAGCAACCACGAATGGAACCCTCTGGAACCTTTCTTTGCCACATCACCAAAATCTCAAGGTAAAATACAAACACTTTTTAATATTCATCACCACCTTTACCAAACTCCCTTTTATTTCTTTGTTCATTGGGACAAGGTCTCACTATATAGCCTTGGCTGGCCTCCAACTCATAGAGATCTGCCTGCCTCTGCCTCCTGGGTGCTCATTAAAGGTGTGCTACAACTTGCCTACAACGGCATTTGGCTGTGTAGCCTAGGCTAGCCTTGAACCTGAAGCAATCTTTCTACCTCAGCCTTCCATGTACAGAGATTATACACAAACACCACTAAACTCAGCTACACCTTTACTAGAAATTGAGTACTTACTTGATTCTTCATTATATATGCAAATGTTTAGCTCACTGATGCCAAATGATTAATTGAGATGTCTTAAAATGTAATCAATGAGTAAAGATTTACATCATAGAGTAAACAACAAAATAAATAAGATCCCCAAATGCTGAAGTGCTACCTGGGTAAAAGCAACTTACAGAGAAAATCTTAGTTCAGATATGGGTTAGTGCTACTGGCTGATTTCATGAGTCAACATTTACTAGTAAGGCATTTGAGACAGGGTCTTGCTGCATAGCCCAGGTTGATTCCAAACTCTGTGCTGGGCTTATAGGTATGTGCTCAGCTCTGACTGATGAACAAGTAACAACAAAACCCCTTAATCCTTGAGGGGAGTAGTTCAATATCCACAAACCGAGTTCATGGGTTTGGTATCATACAATTCCTGTGAAAAGATCACAAATTAGTGGCCCAGAGGTCACTAAGAGCTGTGACCCAGAGGTGGAGTGAATCCAGAGTAGTGGTCCTTGAAGGACAGCTTCGGTCAGACACTCCTGGCAGTCAACCAGGACATATAGCTCAGGTGGGTCTTGAACTTGTGATCTGACTGCCTCATCCTGAGTAGCTGGGATTAAAGGACTGGGTCAACAGTACCAGCTAAGGCTCGGGTTTGAACTTAAGCCTGACTGCTGAAACCAGGGTGCTTTCAGGTAAAAGAGGAAGGCTCTAGGCTGGGAGTAGCTCAGTAATAGAGCGCATGTCTAGTGTATGTCAGGCCCTGGGCTCCATCTCCAGCCTGAGACATTTCTAGAAATCAAGGGCTATGGTACAACTTCCTTACCTGAAAGACGAACATGTGCCTTCCAGCAGGGACAGGGCCCACCAGCACCGAGTCTAGGATCTGATCAAACTCCTCGCTCTCGGCTGAGCCCACATAAATGATCTTCCACTCCAGGTCTGTAAGCACACGGTGGGGGAGGGGATTGAGGACTAACAATAGCTGAGAGCAAGGCAAGGGCCTTCTTGTCAGCACGTCTCAACGTATTACAAGTTCACTCCTGTGAACTGAGTGTTCGCTGGGCAATAGGCTCAAGCACCAGTCCTGAATTAGATCAAGTATGAAGCTCTACTTTAGTGGAGACATTTTTCCTGTAAGCCTAACTGGGCCAGGTGACCTTGACTCTGGCCCTCCAGGGAAACTTTGGCCTCTCAGTAGCAGAGAGGAACCATATAGCATAGGCTGACTCAGGAGTCCTGTGACACCGGCTTGTAGAAGGAACAGGGAATGAGGCAACTTGAGGACCCTGGTCTCTGGATAGGAAGCAGCATCCTCTTTCACAGGATTGGTGCCACCAAGTAGAGCAGATCCCTTGACAACTGGGGCAAAGTGGCAGATTCCAATCCAGCAGGAGAGCCAGGTGGCAGGAGGGGAAAGGCAAAGCTGCTGGAGGAACCAAAGTTGTCCACATGTGTCACCAACTCATGCCTACTTGTGCACATTTGTGGGACAGAGACTCTGCCAGCAAATGGTGCATGACAGGGCATACCTCCAAAACCTGACTAGGCACTCCACCATTAAGGGGGCTCAGTCCTGGGGTAAACCCAAAAGAGATGAAAGAAATCTCAGGCAATCCCTGGTGTCCACAGCCTCTTGTAGGAGGGCCAAGGTCATGCTAGTACAGAGAAGCTTGGCCTCAGACCCAGAACTTATTTTAGACTCTTGGAAATTACACAACCACTACTCCAGCAGCTGGGAAAAGTTGCACAAGCTGAGATTTTCATAGGGAGCATGCTCTTGGAAGCTGCTTGGCCCTTGGTCCAGTGAGGCACAGGCATCTAACACTGGAGGCACACTGATACCAGATCATGCTATGGAGGTTTGTCACCTGAGCCACAAAGCCTTCCTCAATACATCCACTCCCTTGTCCCTTACAGTTCCTTACAGGCCCTTCTAGGTGACCCCCATGCCTGTGGTTCACCAGGGTTCAAACTCTAGCCTCAGCATTTCTGGAAAACATTTTTTTCTTTTTCCTTCTTTCTTCTTTTTTTTAACGATTCATAAATTTTTGTGTCATCCCTGCACAGGGGCCATGCTAATCTTCTCTGTATCATTCTGATTTTAGTATATATGCTGCTGAAGTAAGCACAATATTTCATTTTTTTTGTCAGCTTTATTTTCCTAAGTATCCTTCCAAAGGTTGTTTTCCTTTTATGTGTATGGGTGTTTTGCATGTATGTCTGTGTATCCTTTGGTGCCTCATGCCCATGGAAGCCAGAAGACGGTGTTGGGGCTGGTGGAACTGGATGGTTGTTAACCACCATGTGGGTGCTGGGAACTGAACCTGGGTTCTCTGGCAGAGGGATCAGTTTTCTAACTGCTACCCCTAGATATTTACTTCTTTGCAGTGCTGGGGATGAACCTCAGGGCCTGCACATGCCAAAAAAAAAGTGCTGTACAGTCCCCATGGATTCATTTTGTAAAAAGAAGTGACACAAAAGAATCAATGTTTCTGGCCTGGCCTGGCGGCGCACGCCTTTAATCCCAGCACTTGGGAGGCAGAGGCAGGCAGATCTCTGTGAGTTGAGGCCAGCCTGGTCTACAGAGCAAGTTCCAGGACTGGTTCCATAGTTACTGTGAAAAACTCTCTAGAAAAACAAGAAGAAGAAGAAGGAGGAGGAGGAGGAGGAGGAGGAGGAGGAGGAGGAGGAGGAGGAGGAAGAAGAAGAAGAAGAAGAAGAAGAAGAAGAAGAAGAGGAGGAAGAAAAGAATCAATGTTTCTGGAAGGACAGAAAAGAATGCCACCCTTGCTCTTACATGCTAAGATGGCTCTGTCAAACTCTACTTTCTTCAGGCCTCTTCCCCAAAAGATTTTCATAGGGAGCCATATATTCACACATCTAATTAATATGCTGGAAGGAGGGCTTGACACAGGACAGTCCTTTGTGCCCCCAAGGCATCTGACCTTGCTTAGTCTGTGTAGTGTATGTAGAAAGCAAGTAGATAGTAATGCCCCTTCTTGCCATGGACCAGAGAGACTCAAGAATTCACAAAAGACCACATAAAATACTGACTAAAAAGTAAAAGTTGATCAAACCATCTGTAAAAACAGATGCCTGAAACAAGGGCCCATAATCGGCAATCATTTTAAATTTGATAAAGTTCTATTTTATATTTTCTTTCTTCAAGAGATAGAATCACACTGGTACATGCCTTTAATCCCAGTACTCGAGACACAGCTTTTAAAAAAAGGGGCCTGAGAGATGGCTCTGAGGGTTAAGGCACTTGCCAGGAAACCTAAAGACCCAGCTTAATATCCAGAAAACACATGGGGAAAAGAGAGAACTAATCCCATCAAGTTTTCCTCTGACCTCTACATGCATTAGCACACACATACACATAAACAAAGGAACAAACGACAGGGTCTTCCTGTATAGTACAGGCTGGTCCAAAGCTCACAATATTCCTGAAAGCCTTCCAAGTATTGGGATTACAAGTGTGAGCCCATGTGTGTCCCTCATTGAATCTGCATCTTTCTGTGTCAGCTGGGCTGGTAGCCAGTGAGCCCTTGGGAATCCACTGGTCTGTACCCACTTCTCCCTCCCCAATTTTACCTGAGTGATGAACAGTCAAACTCAGGTCCTCCCTGAGCCATTTCCTCACACAACAGAGAAACTCAAGATTTCATTTCAAAATATAATCGACTTTTTTTTTTTAAAAAAAAAAAAAAAAAAAAAAAAAACAGGGTTTCTCTGTGCAACAGTCCTGGCTGTCCTGGAACTAGCTCTGTAGACCAGGCTGGCCTCGAATTCAGAGAGATCCACCTGCCTCTGCCTCCTGAGCGCTGGGATTAAAGGCTTGTGCCACCACACTGGCCTATATGCTCAGCTTTTAGCACCTATAGGTTCTGTAACCATAAACTCAACCAATCACCACAGAGAGCAAATATCAGAAAACAATCTGGGGCTGGAGGCATGGCCCAGGGGTGGAGTGCTCATCTAGCATTCATGATGCCTGAGTTCTATCCCCAGGGCCAAACACAAAAAAGGTTTGTACTGAACATGAATATATATAACTTTTCTTTTTTTGTCATTTATTCTCATACTATGTATCCCTGCTGGCCTGGAACTCAGATCCACATGACTCTGCCTCTCGAGTGCTGGAATTAAAGACAGTTCATTTATTCTCTAAACAACATAGTATACAGTTATTTCTACATCAGTGGCACTAAGTATAAGTCACATAGGGCTGATGAGACTGCTCAGTGATTACAGTGCTTTCTGTGTAAGCATGTGAAAAGGGCACAGTGGCCCACCTATTTAACCCCAGTCTTGGAAGGTGGACATAGGGGACCCCTATGACGAATGGGCTAGTAAGACTAGCCATACCATCAAGCTCTGGGTTTGAAAGACCCTGTCTCAATGAATAAGAGAGAAGAGCAACTGAAGATTATTGTCAGCATCAACCTAGAAATTCCACTGTATACAACCTGGGTGCCTAGTCTTCCCTAAAAAAAATGGAAAAAGAAAAAAGTCACTTGTAGATGAGTATTAGGTTTATAGAGGAGCTGATTGTTGTGGCACACACTTGTAACTCAAGCATTTTGGAGATGCAGGTAAGAGGATCCAGGAGTAAAGACTAGACTCTTGTTACATATTAAGTTCAAGACTAGGCTTCGTAGCCCCTGATCCCTCTCCCAAAAAAAAAACCCAAAAACAAAAAACATACTAATAAATGTCTTTTGGAGACTATGTGTATGTGCAGGTTCTATACAAATACTATACCCTTTTGTAGAAGGCCCTTGAGCATCTGTGGGTACTGGCACCTGAGGGACTTCTGAGCCAATGGTGAAGACTATTTCTTCAAAAGTAGGTTTGAAACATCAGTCATTCATACAATATAAATTCACACTGACCAAATAGAGGATTGGGTTTCTTTCTTTCTTTCTTTTTTTTTTTTTTTTTTTGAGACAAGATCCCATTGTATAAAACAAGTTGACCTTGAACTCACAAAGATCCTCTTGCTTCTCCCTCTCAAGTACTGGGACTAAAAAGTGCCCAATATTTTTGTTGTTTTAATATGTGTATAATGAATTTACATGCATGTGAATGTGGGTGTGCCTAAGCCATGAGGTGTATGAAGATAAAAAGGACAACCTTAAGTACAGTACATGTCAGCATATACAGAGAGCTCTGGGGGATTCTCTTGTCTCCACAACACTTAGCCACTGAAACCATTTCCCTAACCCAATTGTTTTGTTTTGATGCCCTAAGTTCACAATGACCCCTGTTCAGATGTACTATTTGGGAAAACAAAACCAAAGCTGAAAACATTACTAAAGATATGTAAAAATTATTGCAGATAAGCTGAGCTTGTTTTAGGCAGCACTAGGGACAGAACCCACAACTTCACACATGCTAGACAAAAGTGTCATTAATAATCTACCCCTCAAAGCCGGGCATTGGTGGCACACGCCTTTAATCCCAGCACTCTGGAGGCAGAGGCAGGCGGATCTCTGTGAGTTCCAGGCCAGCCTGGTCTCCAGAGCGAGTGCCAGGATAGGCTCCAAAGCTACACAGAGAAACCCTGTCTCAAAAAACCAAAAAAGAAAAAAACCCAACTTCTTCATAATTCATGGAAAGGAGGCCAGGAAGAAGATGAAGCCATCTTGCATGCCAGTCAGAATATAAGGAACAGAACCAACCAGCATAACTTGGAGCAAAAGTGCCCTCTTCCATCTTTTCAAATGGTCCGGCTGACAAATTCTACGGTCATTCCTAATATGTTCTACTTCTAAACTATTGTTGGGCTGGTGACACAGCTCAATGGGCAGAGCCACTGTTTAGCATGTATAAAGTCCAGGGTTGATTTCTAGACAAAAATAAGAGATGCCACACAAAGGATCCTTACCCTCCTCCAAAAAAGAAAACAAACAAACAAACAAAAAACAACAAAAACCTTACAAGTAGGGACTGGAGAGCACAGCATTTAAGAATACTATTTACTCCTACAAAGGACTCAGCTTTGGTTCCCAGACCCACATGGTGGCTGACACTGTCTCTATTTCCAGTTCAGGAAATCTGACAACCTCTTCTGGCCTCTGCAGGCAGCAGGATGTAAATGTGGTGTATATACGTATAAGCAAGCAAAATACACATAAACAAAAAAGACCTACATGTAAATCTTTTCTTCCCTTTCTAGGACTGAAGGAAAGATACGGAATCTGGGAGCTGGCTAGATGTCTCAGCAGATTAAAGCGTTTCCTATGAAAGTCTGAGAATCTGAGTTCAGGCTGCTAGAGAAATAGCTCAAGGTTAAAATCCCATGTTGATCTTAAAGACTCAAGCGTGATTCCCAATACCTATGTCAGGAGGCTCAAACTACCTCTGTCTTCTAGGGACTCCCATGCACATACCCACCCCAACACACACATATACACAGAAAGAGGTCAGGTGTGGTGGTGCATGCCTTTAATCCCAGCACTGGGGAGGCAGAGACAAACAGATCAAAGATCTGTGAGTTCTAGGCCAGCCAGAACTATGTAGTGAAATCCTGTTTCAAAAAACAAACAAACAAAACCCCCACTATTGAGGAGGAAGAGATGGTGGGTTCCTGGCTCATTAGACAGCCAGCCTAGTAGTGTTAGAGCTCCAGGTTTTGCAGAGATTAAAATAGGTAGAACAGGGCTGGAGACTGCCCATGGGTTAAGAGCACTAGCTGCTCTCCTAGAGGCCAGGCAGGTTCCCACCATCTGCATGGTGACTCCCAAAGTCTGTAACTCCAGTTCCAGGACACCCAACTCCTTCTCTTAAACTCTGTGGTACCAAGCACTCAAGTGGTACCATAAATACATGTAGACAAAACACACACATTTTTTTTTTTAAAGAAAAAAAAATGGTACAGAGCAATGAAGAGCAGTTGAGGAAGACCATCTGGTGTCTCTAGCCCACACCCACAAATTAAATTCAAAAAATAAAATTAAAAAAAAAATCTGAACTCAGAAACAAACTTCAGTGGTAACACTTTACTGTCTGGCTGACTTGGAGAAATCATCCTGCTCGTATTACAATGGCCAGCAGCTGACTTTAGCCTTGATGTCCTAATTCCATAAATAAGGAATCAAAGTAATATTAGGTAATGACCATGCAACCATTTTTATTTGCAAAGAGCACACTCAGGCTGATTGAAACCTGCTCTCTCAGCATCTGGGAACTGTGATTCCATTGATTTATGTCTCCTCTTGGCTTCCAAATAAATCTTATCCCACATTGTTACCCTATATTTTATTTATTTACACCCTACCTTGTTCCAGCAAGGATTTAACCCAGCTTTATTCTATAGTTAAGCCACAAGTAGATTCCTTTAAACTTAAGGAGAAACTAGGGAGAGGATCAGCCAGTGGCCCACCCCAAGCACACATTATAGCAGCTCCAGGTGAACAGAAGTGGCTGGATTTGTCTGAACACCAACCACAGCCACCAAGAGGCACTAGTTTTCACAACCTAGCCTCTCAGAGCTCCACCTCCTCAGCTGCTACATCTTTCAACCCTCAGTAGGAAAATGAGGAGTGTTTCCTCCTAAAAGCAGGACTTGCCTAGTGTTAATATTTTGTTTATGATCTAACAAATAAAGCTTGCCTGAAGATCAGAGTGCAAAGCTAGCCACACTAGCTAGCCATAGAGGCCAGGCAGTGGTGGTACACACCTTTAATCCCAGCACTTGGGATACAGAAGCAGACAGAGCTCTGTTAGTTCGAGGCCACCTGAGCTACACAAAATTGAGCCAGTCTGAAAGAGAAACAGAGCTCAAAGAAAGGTGATCTCAGCACTTGGGATCCTATACCTTTAATCCCATCAATAGAGAGGACTATAAGGCGGGAGGAGACAAGGATGTGCAGTCTGAGGCAGTCTGAGCAGCAGTACAGTCTGGACATGCAATCTAAGGACAGGATCACCCTTTCTGTCTGAGGTAGAGGTAAGAGCTAGTGGCTGGCTACTTTGCTTCTCTGATCTTCAGCTTTAACCCCAATATCTGTCTCTGGGTTTTTATTAAACATGCTACACATTGCCTTGCTGTGGAGCTGAGACTACAAAGTGACCTCATGGTTAATGTGTTCACAGACTTATTTCAAAGGTCTTTTGGTCTTTGTGGCCCTTGTCCTGTCATCTAACAGCCACGTCCACCTTTATGTCCTGCAGATGAATGAAGTCATTCTGTGAAAGATTCACAAAGGCCAGCGGTCTCTCTCCCCAGCTGACTGAAGTTGAATCCCATCCCTGTTTGGTCAGTCACCCCCCACCACCACCAGGTCAGCCCATCAAAAGGAAGGAGGGATTCCTTACACTGAGTCTGCTGGAAGCTGGTAGAAATCCCAAAACTGGCAGAGGCCTGCCTGGCTGTAGCACCCCTTTCCCGAGTGTTCATCCAATCCCAGACCAGGAGCTGGGGAGGCCAAGTTATCTACAAAGAGCCAGAAGACCCCATCCCTCCCCGGGGGAAGGTCATGCATAGGATATGGTACTAACCTAAAGAGAGGCCCCGGTCTGGACAACAGCCATGACGTTACAGTTGGCTAGGAGGAGTTGCTAGGGACAAATGTGGAGATGTCTGGGGATGGTATCGATGGGAGACAAATGGGGTGGAAGAGGTCTTGCCATGGGCAGACAGGGTAGCAAGAGGAGGGTCTGCTGGTCTGTAGAAAAGCCGTCCATAAGGAAAATGGGGGAGGGTACTGGAGGTTGGGTTTCCATGGAAGAGAGAATAGATGGGAGGTTTTCTATGGGGAAATAGGCATGAAAATGGAGTCTAGCCATTGGGAAGAAGGCGTAGCCGCGGTCTCTTACACGCTAGATGGAGGCTTACACCACTACAAAGAAAAGGTGCCAAGGACAAGTGGTTCAGGACGAGGGGTGCCTCCACGAGACAGTGCAGGTTACCGTGCACTGGATCCTATCCACCGAGTTGGACCACGGAGGCTTATCTCTGAGTGGAGAAGTTCCCGGGGAGGCTGGGAGTGGCAAAAATGAGGGCAAGAGGGTTTGGGGTCCCCTGCACAGGCCCAGCCTCACCGTCAGACAGGGCCTCACTGCATTCGAAGCTGATCTCGAACCGGAAGGGGCTGTGGAAAGGGCTCGGGTTCTCCAGGACAGCCACGTTCAGCACCGACACCTTGGCCATCACCTCGCCAGGGGGTCACAGCTGCAGTGGAGCCTTCTCCGGTGTCCTGCGCAGCCAATGGCGGCTGGGGAAGAGGAGGTCGCCGAGGCAGAGAACCTCTCAGCGACTCCAACTCTTCTCTAAAGAGCGTCTCGCGTCCGCGCGCGGCCTTCAAATAGCTGACTCCACCCTCCAGCCAATCGCCGCTAAGGATCTATGACGGCGCGAGAGCCCCGCCAGCCAATCCTGAGGCTTCTTCCGGTTTGCGCCTCGACCCGCGGACCAATCAGAGAAGCTTCCTCTTCACGGTCCGCGGGAGGCGGAACGATCATCTTTTAGCTTCGCAAAGTGTCCATCCGGAACCAATCCCTAGCGTCTCCGACTCGAATATCTTGCGCCGGGGTGGGCGGAGTTAGAGCGCGGAACTTCTCTTGTCCAATCCCAAGGGTTACCGCATCGGCGTGACCCGCCCCCTCATTCTGCTCTTCCGGTAGGCACACCCCACAGAGAGCAGAGCCACTAACGGCCGAACGGTGGCGCGCGACTCTTACTTAAGAGCGCTGAAAGAAGGGAGCCAGAACTCGCCGTGATTGACTAGCGACCACGGGGCGGGGCTTCAGTAGGCTTCTGAGATGTGATTGGCTAATGTCGCGGCACAAGGAGGGCTGCGCTGGAAGCCGCCCTCCGGCTCAGTGAAAAGCATGAAGAGGCAAGCGTGATGGCGGCGCTCTGGCCTCCGTTTGTCCGCTGGTGAGCGTTTCCGGGAGCTCCTCTGAGGGACTCCTGGCCTTGAGGACAGCGGCCGTGAACATTTGGAGCACCCCTGAGACAAGATGGCGCGGCAGCGAGTGGGGACCCAGGATGGAGTCCCGGTCCGAAAGGAGTTGAAGTTCGTCGACGTACCAGGGTTTGGATCCTCTCTCCAGCCTGTTTTCCAACCGGTTGAAAAATTCACTGCGAAGGCCTGGGGTGGTGGCGCACTCCGGAGGCGGGGGCAGGCGGGTCTCTTGAGTTCGAGGACAGCCAGGGCTACATAGAGAAACCCTGTCTGGAAAAAACAAAAACAGAAGAAAGTTAACTGCCACTATTTATGACGATATAATGCGGTCTTCACTCCATGCCCCTCTGGCTCCCTAACCCTGCCACAGTCTCTTACACATACAACCAGTGAGAAATAATGCTAGCCACAGACCTTTTACTAATAAGTCTTTTAAAGGAAACAAAACAAAACGCCTGGAGTGCCGGTGTATATCCATTAATCCCAGCACTCAGGAGCCTGAGGTAGGCAGACGTCTGCGAGTTCAAGGCCTGCCTGGTTTACACAGTGATTTTGGGGAAGTAAATGAATAGATAAATTGGTTTTCACATTTGACCATCCTTAAAAGGCCAAGAAACGATGAGAGATTGATTTTAGTATTACATTTAACTCAATAGAACAAAAATGCTAATTTCAAACATTATCAGTATAAAAATGCTAATGAGCTATCCTGCATCCTTTTATTCAGTGAGAAATTTTTGGACTCCTGTACATGTTTTGAAGGGACCAGCTCCGTGTTTCGGCAGCCATAACAGCCTAGCACGTGCTTGCCTGACCTTGCCTTAGTCACTAAGAGGTCAGAAGCCTGCCTTGGGGCAAGGAACCAATCAGAAGTTAGCTGGTGGTGCTACGCTTTATGGCTCTGGGTGTGCTTTGTGGACAAGTGCACAACAATGACATAACAACCAGTTGACCAATCAACACAGGGCAAGCTCTCCAAGCCTGGAGGCACACCAATCCTGAGCCTGTGCATACCCCTATACACTCCTCTTACGCTGCCCTATAAGATCTTTGCCCTGTGGTTTCTCGGTGTCTTTTCCCCACCATCCGCCATGGTGGATGGATGAAAGGCCGGAGCTAACCCCATGTTAGCTCGTTAAACAAATGCAATAAAAGACTCATTGCTTTTGCATCGAAATGGGCCTCTTGGTGATTTGGGGATTCAGAATTTGGGCACAACAGTTTCACATTCAAACATGTCTGTAACTTGGCAAGGGAATCTGCACTTTGATTTGAAAGAGGTAATCTGGCTTTTATTTTTCACAAAATTTTACAGTTTGTACTGGATGGCTTTGTGTGTTGACACAAGCTCTATAGAGTCAACAGAGGAAGGCGCCTCAGCTGAAGAAAGGCCTCCTTGAGATCCAGCTGTAAGACATTTTTTTCAATTAGTGATCAATGAGAGGAGGGCCCAGCCCATGGTGGATGGTACCATCCCTGGACTCGTGGTCCTGGGTTCTAAGAAGGTGGGTTGATCAAGCCACGAGAAGCAAGCCAGTAACAGCATCCCTCCATGGCCTCTGTATCAGCTCCTGCCTCCAGGAACCTGCCCTGTTTGAGTTCCTGCCTTGACTTCCTTCAATAATGCACAGCAATGCTGAAGTATAAGTCTAATAAACCCTTTCCTCTCCAACTTGCATTTTGGTCATGGTGTTTCATGGCAGAAACAGAAACCCTAACTCAGACACTGCTGAAAATGTAAGCCAGTAATTTCAGCACTTGGGAGTCAGGGCAGGAGTTCAAGACCATCCTTGTGAGTACATGAGGAATTAGAGGGGTGGAGAAGGAGGCTCAGTGCTTATGAGAGTACTGCTCTTGCAGAAGACCTGAGTTTAATTCCCAACACCTACATCAGGCAGCTCATACCTGCCTGCAACTCCAGCTTCAAGGGATCTGATGCCCTCTTCTGGTCTCTGGAAGCATCTGCATTTTTTTTTTTTTTTTTTTTTTTGTGGAATAGTATATTTAACTATGTAAAGATACGTTTCAGAATAATTGTTTAACTATGTAAAGATGTATTTGTTTATGCAGCATTAGTTTACTTATATAAAGGTGTATTTGTTTATGCTACGTTTAATTATGTAAAGATATGTTGCTTTTGTTTATGCTACATTTGTTTAATTCTGTAAAGCTGTGTTACTTTGCCTGTCTAAAGCACCTAATTGGTCTAACAAAGATCTGAATGGCCAATAGCAAGATGTGATGCTCTTTCACCTTGCCTGCCTAAGGCATCTGATTGAACTAATAAAAAGCTGAATGGCCAAGAACCAGATAGAGAAGGGATAGGTGGGGCTGGCAGGCAGAGAGAAAATAACAGACAGACAGACAGACAGACAGCGGGAGGGGAGGGGCAGACAGACCTGGAGGAAACAGTACAGTAGGACATACAGAATGAAAGTAAGGTAAAAAATCTCCAAGGCAAAGTGATGAAGAGAAACAAGTGGTTAAGTTAAAGAGCTAGTGGACAACCCTAAGCTAAGGTCAGGCATCATAGTAAGTCTCCATGCCATGATTTGGAGGCTGGCAGTACAAGAAAGCCTGCTATACTCTTCCTTTTTTTCTTATTTAAGGTGTTTGGCTGGAGCAATTAGTCAGCAATTAAGAACACATGTTGCTCTTGAAGAGGACCCAAGTTCAGTTCCCAGCACTCATGGCTTCAGTTTCAGGAGAAACTGAGTATGCTAGACACCCATGTGTTGTACATGCATACAGGCAAGCAGAACACTGGGCATGGTGGCACACACCCTTAATCTCAGCACTCAGGAGGCAGAGGCAGAGGCAGAGGCAGAAGGATTTCTGAGTTTGAGAACTCAGTGAATTCCAGGCCAGCCAGGGCTGCACTGCAGAACCCCATCTAAAAAAAAAAAAAAAAAAAAAAAAAAAAAAAAAAAAAAAGGAACCGGGCAGTGGTGGGGCGAGCCTCCCGGCACTCAGGGAGTAGAGGCAGGTGGATCTCTGAGTTTGAGGCCAGTCTAGTTGGTCTACAGAGTGAGTTCCAGGACAGCCATATCTGTTACACAGAGAAACCCTGTCTTGAAAAAAAACAAACAAATAAAAGGAAAGAAAGGCCGGGCAGTAGTGGCTCATGCCTTTAATCCCAGCACTCAGGAGGCAGAGGCAGAAGGATCTCTGTGAGTTCCAGACCAGCCTGGTCTACAAGAGCTAGTTCCAGGACAGCCTCCAAAGCCACAGAGAAACCCTGTCTCAGAAAAAAAAGGAGGAGGAGGAGGAAGAGGAGGAGGAAGAAAGAAAGGGGCTGGAGAGATGACTCAGTGGTTAATACCGACTGTTCTTTCAGAGGACCTGGGTTCAATTCCCAGCACCCACATGGAAGCTCACAAACTGTCTATAACTCCAGTTCCAGGGGATCTGAACCCACGAACAGACAAATATGCAGGCAAAACACCAACGTACATAAAATATAAAAATAAGTAAATTTTTAAAAAGGAAAGAAGGGGCTGGAGAGATGGCTCAGAGGTTAAGAGCACTGACTACTCTTCTAGAGGTCCTGAGTTCAATTCCCAGCAACCACATGGTGGCTCACAACCATCCATTATGAGATCTGGTGCCCTCTTCTGGTGTGCAGATATACATGGAAGCAGAATGTTGTATACAAAATAAAATCTTAAAAAAATAAAAAGGAAAGAAAAAAATGTATGTGGGTTCATGTACTTCAATCCCAAGTGTTACCCACTGGAGGTTCCAATGAGAATGGCACCATAGGCCTGTATGTTTGGATGTGTGGCCCCCAGTTGGTGGAACTGATGAGAAAGGATTAGGAAGTGTGGTGTTGGAGGAGGTGTGTCACTGGGAGTGGGTTTTGAGGTCTCAAAAGACTGGCAAGATTCCCTGGGTGTTCTCTGCCTCCTGCTGGATCAAGGTGTGAGCTGCTCCTGACACCATGCCTTTGCTTCACCATCAAGAACTGTAACCCTCTGAAACCCTAAGCCAAGTTAAACTCTCATAAATTGCCTTGGTTGTGGTGCTTCCCAGCAATAGAAAAGTTAACTAAGACACATACATAAAAGCTTTCCATCCCCAGAACTGAATAAAGTAACCAGGTCTACTTTGGGAGGGTAAGATAGGAGGATTGAAAACAATTTTGAGGCCAGCCTGGACTATATAGTAATGCCTTATCTCAGAAAATAAAATCAATTTAATGATGAAGTTGCCATGTGTTTCCTAGATATAAGCCAAGTTCCTCCCCTTTTGCATTGTGAACGTCTTTATCCCCAGCCCCATCCTCTTCACACCCCAGGAAAGTTTAGCCACAGTAGTCTGCGGTGCTTATAAAGAAACCCCTGTCCATTTCTTTCTTGGTACAGCTAGCTAAATGATCTTCAGCCATAAACCAGATCAAGCTGCTATTCTGCTTAAAGCCTTCAAAGGCTTATCCTGCTTAGAATGAAACCTAAGATCTTTACTGTGGCTCAAGAGGCCCTGTGTGGTGGCCCTGTCAGTCCCGCGTGGTGGCCCTGGCTAATCTCGCTGGCTTCATCTTCCAGTCTCCTCCTTGTCATTACTTGAAGCCTTGCTGGCTTTATTCTCTTTAAGCACACCAATCCGATTCTGCTTTGGGGCTGTGCACTTGCTGTTCCCTTTGCATAGGAAACAAAGGGGAACACTGGGAAATCACTGGCTTCTCATTCTCACTATTAGGAATCGTCAGAAGATTCCTCAGCTAATATGGTCCTTTATTTTATTATTACACTCTGGATCTACTGCTTGACAGTTGGTCTGATAGGCTGGTGCCTTAGTTTTCTCATATTTATTACGTTATTAGTTACTTTAAAAATATTTTTTTAAAAATATGTTTTTGTGTGTATGAGTGTTTTGTCTACATGTATGCCTGTGTAACAGGCCTGGTCCCCATAGAGGCCAGAAGAGCAAGTCAGATCCTTTGGAAGTAAAGTGTCAGATGACAGTGAGCTGTCATGTGGGTACTGGGAATCGAACTAGGGTTCTTGGCAAGAGCTGCAGCAAGTGCTCTTTTTCTTTTTTTCTTTTTGTTTTTTTCGAGACAGGGTTTCTCTGTGACTTTGGAGGCTGTTTTGGAATTCGCTTTGTAGACCAGGCTGGCCTCGAACTCACAGAGATCCGCCTGCCTCTG